AAGTTTGAGGGTTTAATGTTTTAGGACTTCATAAAATCTGATCTTTATTTCCATAATAACTGGCCTCATATTTGACTTTAGTGTACTTTGGTGAACAGAGAAAGTCGTGAAGGACTTTAATATAATTGCTCGGTAAAATTAACATTTTAACCTGGTGAGTTGGGCCTCAGATGGAGGCTCTGGGGTTGATGCTCTTTTTTTCTTAGTTTTTTGTATTTTAATTATTTTTTTTTTTTTTATTTGATGCAAATTTGCATGCATGATGTCCTTTTTATTTAATTATGCAGTTTAAAATGATAATTATCTACATTTCCCTGCTTTAAACCTTCTCTAACACACTATCAAACCCAATAAGACTGTGAGCATCCGGAGGGCGGCAGAGCGTTAGCCTCTGGAGTAGCTTGGTGACACTGCCATGACACCAGAGTGTGTCGGCCCTCCTGGGACTGACCACTCCTCCTTAGCACAGATTGGAGGTGAGACCTTGAGGAAAAATTATTACTTTTATGTTTGCTTTATGGCTCATTTTTCACATTAAAAGCCGAAAATCTATGCGGGGGTCACAGAATTCCTGCTTTTTCTCCACAGACCCGCAGCACTTTTGGCAACCCCCGGTATTGATAAAACATTCAGCGGAGCAAAGTATTCCGGCTATGTACTGCTGCTTTCAAGTCTCTATTTTCCACCAGCAAGTCTATTGGGACTTGTTCAGCTTATATCTGCTGGGGTTTTGGAAATGTCAGCCACACACATACACACACCCCGCCATGCAGAGAGAGAGAGAGAGAGAGCCAGCCTCGTGTCAGTGTGTCCTTATCTGGGAGCGCCGTAGCCGACATGACTTGTGATAAGAGATAGCATTGCCAGAACAGGTCATAAAATCCCAGCTTTTATGGCGCGGTTATTGTCTTTCTGTCTACAATTATAGTGATTACTCATTTCCCCTCACCTCCTCCCCTCCACGGCCTTCACGGTGCACTTAATAGACTGCATTTTACTAATGGAAAATTAAGCAGGCGCTGTGGCAGTGAGGTTTATAAATATGTAAAATAATCTTTTAATTATTTCAAGTGAATCTGGCAGCTAATCAATAAAGAGGGACGTGACAAACATACGTTTGACACAGGCCATTGTAAAGCCACTGGTAAAAGATAAGCACGGCCTGTCAGCGCAGTCGGGCCCTAATGAATATTTTGAGGCTGTCATGTAAGGAGAGAAATGGATTAATTGTGGCCCCCCGCTAATATAATGGCTCCTTCATGAAGAGTGCAGGAGAGAGGCGGAGGGGAAGGAGGAAGAGGAGGAGGAAGCAGCACAGTGGCTGCTGGGCTCAGAACCCCAGCATCAAATGAATATTTATTAGGGTTGGGGTTAAGTAGATTTTTGCGATTACACGGTTAGCCACTTAGGGACGGCTGTTTATCATTTGTTTGATAATTGATTTAGTCGGTGTCATATTAATTTTGTTTATAGTCATCTGATCTTGATCTCCTGCAGAAGCACCACCTTCCACGGAAATCCGGATGCTTGTGGTATGAATTTGAAATATCTATGTAGTGTAAAGCGCAATAACGGTTTTCTGGCTTCTGTTGGCTGTAAAATTGCAAAACACTTTAAAATAAAATGACATTAGAGCACAGAATTAATAATAATAATTAATTTTATTTAAAAATGTAGCTGTAATTTAAATGTTGACATTGGTAGCTACAGGATTCTAAAAAGTTAAGTTTGTATTTCAACACAAGTTTGAGTTTTGTTGATGGCATCTTAAAGCATCTGGAGTATAAATCAGCCATTAAAAGATGCATAATCTGTCATTATTTAATAAAAGCTTGTTTTCATTTTAGTTTGTTGATTTTAACTATGGATGTTATTTTTTTCCTTGAGATTCTTTATTTTCCTACTGTTTTAAAATTATTGTTTTTGTTGTTTTTTTCTCTCACACATTTTCTGAAAAGAAAATCTACTTATGGGAACAATAAAGTGATACCCATACAGTTTGTGAATATAAACGAATGTCAAATAAAAAATATAAGATTTAACCTACACTGTTGAAGCACTACTATTAGTAGTACTGCTGAATTCTTAACCACTAAACCCATCAGGGATTTATTTAATATTTTTTTCCCCAAGTGTTAAAATAGAAACAGAATAGAATCCAGTTACTTTGTTATTAACATTGTTACCGTAATAATATAATTTTTTGAATTAATGGGAAAAAAGATGCTGTTCTGCTCTAAACAGGAGCAGTTAGATCAGGTAATACACTTAAGTTTTAAATTTTTAAATTTTTATTATTTTGATTTTTAAGGTCATTTTATCTTGATGGGTGTAAAGTTCATTTATTTTCTGTTGACCATCTGAGCTTCGACCTTTCAGACAAATTATGGACAACAGTTTAATTCATAAAGCAAAACTATATCTCTTTATTTTTGCTTCACAGGCCTCTGAAAGTGTCCCATAAACACTAGCACTTAGCAGGGTGTCACTAGTTTGACAAATATTACATTTTTCTCTCCCTCCCTGTTTTTGTATTTTTTTATTATTATTTCTTAGTCTGGTCTTGGAACCTTTAAGGTGAAAGACAGTATAAACAGAAGCGGGCAGAAATAAAGTGCAGCCTCCGTTTTCCTGGAATCTGTTCTCGCTCCGTGGGAAGTTTTGACCTTGAGCCTCGCCTTTCTCCATCAGAGCTGGGAAGAAGGAATGACGAAGGGGAAGGGGAGGGGTGTAGCGCGGCGGAGGTTCGGGTCACCAGCCGCAGTCCTCATCAATTAAATGTGCGACGGTGTTTTGTGTCGGCTGAACTTATATGTCAAGGAGATGGGCAGGACCTCATGTTTGTGCTTTTGACAAATCAGCAAATGTTTAATCTCAAGATGTGCCGCGAACATAAATAATGCAGAGGCCCGGCCTGAACATCGTCTACTGCATAGGAAAAGACCAGAAAAGATCAAATCTTGCCTCATGCTTTTCTCCCTCCTATCGTCGCCTACTCTTAACAATCAAACCACTACACCACCCCCCCTCAACATAGAACCTGCATTGCTGTAGCATCACAGCCATTGAACTTCTCTTCTCATGCAAATACAAACAAAAAATCCCAGGGTTTTTATGCCATGACTTAGACAGGTTTATTTTGTCATTTTAGTGTATACAAGAAGAAAATTTGTTAAAACAGCTCTAGAAAACTTCATTTTTCAAAGTGCAGCCTTGAAAACAGTAATAAATACATAAAAAAAATTATAATATAAACGTATGACTGTATATTTACAGTTCTAACATTCATTTTTTTAATAAAATAACCCATTTTACACAATATTCAACAGTCTAATGGCAGTAGGGAAGAAACGTGTGGAATCTGCTGGACCTGCATTGGATGCTTCGAACCCTCTTCACAGAGGGCAGTCCATGGTGGGGGTGTGAGGGGACATTTATGATGTTACGGGCTTACCATCGACCTCTTAATAGTCCAAATTTGTGAAATGAAAGAAAAAATATCACATTATTTATAAATATTATCCATAGATCCCTAAAAAACATGGTGTTAGTTTGTTTTGAGTCTCTACTAAGGTTGGAGTTTGTCTCTTCCAGCTTTGGACATCTAAACGCCAACATTTCTGCCCATTCTTCTTTGCCAAATACAATCTACCAGTTTTTAAGTCTTAAAATAGTTTCTAAACTGGTGCTTGGGCCATTTTTTAATAGACTTTAAGTCAGGTTTTACTCCAGAACTAGGCCTAATTCAGCTCTGTTCATCCTCCCTTCCCTGCTGAACTAATACCCACAGCATGATACTGCCACCTTCATGTTTCCCCATGTATGAGTGTGTTCAGTTATGTCACCTGAGCAGGGAATCCATGCAGCTGCTCCAAAGTTGACTGCTTCCCAAAGTAATGATCTCCGGTTGGTTTCGGTAGACAGCTATGTTTTAGTAGCTCTGAAGCTGTGCCCCTTCTTGTCCATCCTTTGGATTATAACTGTACAGCCATCTGTGAGCTGTTGTTCTTGTACGAGAGGAACTCTATTTACCAATCAAGTTAGTTCAGAATTTTACCTGTTGGCTGAATGGGCTCCTTCTGTTTGTATCAGTCACAGAAAATTCCTATTAAACACGTTATAATATTTGTAAAGTGACCATATATGGGACAATTCGATTGGAATGAAGAATTATGTGTAGTAATAGTTTTCTGTACCTGTGAATCTAACTTGGTTGTATTTGATTTCCCTTTGCCCTTTTTGTTTTTATTTTGTCGGATCAGCTCTTTCCAGTAAAACTGACTCACCAGCTTTTTGCCTCACTGTTTGCAAAAGAGGGGAGGGGGCAGAGATTTACCCTGAGCCAAAGGTCTGCTATCTCAACGACACAGGGGATTGAGCTTGAGCTTAGCCTCCATTTGCCCTAAATGTAAAGAGGCCAACAGAAAGCAGTGTAGTGGAGTGTGAACCGCATCAAATCCCCCCATTGCAGCTCTCCCACTTCTTCCCACAGACTTTGATTGGCTCGTCCACCGACTGGGAAAGTTTCCCGATTGTTCTGAGGGAAAATTAAGATTTTAAGCCTATTGAAGTTGATCTTTGCTCATTGAAAAGTCCATCTGAATGTGTTCTTTGAAAGTGTAAATTGTTGCGTTGGAGGAGTTCAGAAAAGGAGCAAAGTGTACTGTACTGAGAGGATGGTGCACCTGTCGTGGTGGTGCTGGTTGGTGTGTTTCTGCAGTACGCTGGACACTTTCTAGAACCATTGGCTTTTCAAGCCTTCTTATCAGCCTTCTATAGTTAGTTGAATAAATAGACATCCATCCATCCATCCATCCATCCATCCATCCATCCATCCATCCATCCATCCATCCATCCATCCATCCATCCATCCATCCATCCATCCATCCATCCATCCATCCATCCATCCATCCATCCTTTTAAATGTATTCATTTTTAACTAATTCCTTCAATGCAAATATTAACAATCCAGCTAATTCTTCTTTTCTCTCTTCCTACAGGCTCTTGGAAGTATGTACTTTATCCACGATTCGTTGAAAAACATCCGTCAGTTTGATTTCGAAGGTGAGACTTTCCCCCTCCCGCACACATCACCAATCCTTAGAAATGAATCCTCACATCCATCCCATTTACAGGCTATTCTTGCTTCCATCAAAACCAGTGATCTAAGATTGGTTCTGCAGATAAAATGAAGGCAGCAGGATCAGATGGTAATGCTTATTAATATTAGGATTTAATTCATACATTTTCGGGGCTGCCGGTAATGGTGTGCTGCAAGTTATTGGACAGTTACAGCGGTCTCATCAGCCCGCGGTGTCAGAGGGCCCCAGGGTCCGGCGACCGCGCTAATTAAAGAGAGGATATAGATGTGGAGGCGCCTTGCCTCCAATCAGACACCAAATCAGCATTAGCACCTGTGAAGGACAGGGCGACGGCGGGCGGGGGAGGGGTCAGAAGGGGAGATGACCGCTCTGTATGTATGCACACATTTTACTGACAGCAGAAGAAATGGTCGAATCAGACATGTTCTATTGGCGCAGTAAGCTGCTGCAGGGGATCTAAACTGTTCAAACCTGTTCCAGTATGACAGCAGGTGTGAATCATCAGAATATCTCAGATTGAGAGGACAGAAGTTTTTAGATCATGAGCTGAAATCTCATCTCTGGAGACCCCTCAGTTTTAGTTGTAAAACACAGACTGGACCATCACAGCAAAGCTTAATTTCATCCTCTGTGGATGAAAGATCCTTCCTCTTTGAGTTAAGAATGGAATCCCAAAGTATAGTGCTGCCACCACCGTGTTTCACTGCAGGTATATTGTTATTGTAGTTAAAGCTCTAACGAGCTTTCTTCAAACCGTAACACATTTTACTTAAATAAAGGGTTAGACTTTACGCAGGCAGGTATGTTTTTAAAACTCACTCACAATAGCTTTCCATACATCACGTTTTTTACCTGCTTGTGTTTCTTTCTCCTTTTTTTGGTGTTGGTTTAAGTTTAAGGGATTGACTTTAAATCCCTGCTTCATCATGACTGAACGGCCTTCCTTCCTTCATAGTAAAAGTTGCAAGAAATCTTGTAATCAGCTTAGCTTTGGTAGCAATTGTTGGATGTTCCTCTGGCTGGCCAGTCTAAGATCTGCTGTTTTTTAAGGCTTCTTGGGGCTTTTTTTTGTTTCTCAAGATTAGGTCGAAAACTAAGAGTGAGAGAATTTCATTTCTAAGTGGATAGATTCAGAAATGTCTGAGTCCGAAAACAAAGCTTCAAAAAGTTTATTTTATTTTATCTCTCCACCTTTTTTCAGTGTTCATGACTTTCCAGCAGCTGAAGTTTATTTCAGGTTAATCAGATTCAATATAATTGCTGGCAGGTGTTTGAGCTTGAGGCGACTGAACGCAGAGATTGAATCAAAAGGTGATTTCAGGGTTTGCACACTTATGCAACCAGGTTAATCCACTTCTTATGTTTCTCATTTTCTCTCTTGCTTTTTTTTAAGTTTACAAGCTCAGTTAAATATGTGGAAAAAATAAAAGGGTTTAACATTTTAACTCGTTTTAAAATGTACAATTAATATAGACAGAGGTGGAAGTACATAAAAATGTACTTCAGTAAGTAAAATTAGTCATAGAAGAAAGTACTTAAATAAGCATAAAGTATTGGGTTAAAAAGTTACTCAAATACCGAGTAACCGATCTACCGGTACTTATGGCAAATAATCATCACAGATTTAATATTCTAATAATTATGTAAAGTTGCAAAAAAAAAATTGAAAATTTATGTTTTTTTTTGTTAAACGGCCATGTAAAAAAAAAAAAATAATAAATATATATATATACATAAATATATATATATATATATATATATATATATATATATATATATATTATATATATATATATATAACATACAATAGTAAAAACACAATGACAGCTTAGAAAATGAGAATGTTCCGTATTTACGTTAGAATACGGTAAAAAAAATTATAGTATATTATTTGCTGTACACTCACTTGACCTTCAAATGACATTGCATAATCAGCAGATAGAAATAACAGCCAACCATTGAAGCTTGAGCACAAAAATAAGTCTCACTTTAATATAAACTGTCATTATGTGTCTCTATGGAGCATTTTTGTTTAAAACAAGCTTGTTTATGTGAAGCTCTGTATGATTGGTAGAGCAGCCAGACGTTTTATTCAAATAAAAGTAGTGAAAGTTTATTATTTTTACTTGAATAAAAGCAAAAAGTACAGCGCGATAAAACTACTCCTTTAAGTATTGTTTATTTTTCCAAACTTTTAATTAAGTAAATATAAATTATTTCTATCCACCTTTGAATATAGCTTTGCTTTTCCGGATTCAACATTAGAGAAAAGATCCAAAAACTCTTTGAGGATGTTCAGGTTCCTGATGTGGCTTTCTATTATGAGCTTTTTGATCAAGACTGAAGTTTTATTTAGGTTTTTTGATGAAATTTTTTACATTATCAGTGACAAAAGGTGAATATAGCAGTAATAATACAGGGGTTGTATTATGAATTCTTTACCTGATGTTCTTCAGTCTGACCAGCAGGTGGTGCAGTTGCCACTTCTGCAGCCTGAGCAGTTAGAAGATCCAGAGTCTGTCATGGAGTCTCCAAATATGAATCAATCTAGTTTTATGACTTTTCTCTCCTTTTTTTCCATTTCACCTCTTCTTCCTTCTGTCCTTGTCCGTCTTCCTCTGTCTCCTCCTTTTCTTTTTTTCCAGCCAAACAATTTCAGAAGTTAACTGGGAGGGAAATCTGCGCAGAGAAACTACACAGCTCACCCATGGTGGAGAGGGAGAAGTTTCCAAAGGATTACTATCCAGGGGTGAGTTCTGGAAGAAATAAAGTTTAGTGATGGACTGATGAGGGCTAACGTCATCATTTGGACATATTACAGAAGACTGAACGCATAAATGTTAGCAACATTTTTACATAAAATATTTTTCAAATTCCATATGGATTCCACCTTTTTCTATCATTTTGCATGATAAAAATAGTGGTTGTGTATCATTTGAAAGGGGAAAGCCTGCAGATATTACTACTACTAAAAGAAAACATAAAAAGCAAAGGTGCGCTTTAGTTCCCTGTTAACTCCACTATGTTGGGTTTGCCTCTTCCGTAGACGGCGAGCTGAGCGCCGCACTGCTGATATAGTAATAAAGAGCACGGCTGCCCGCGTGTCATCCCTGCACTCCCCGCTCATCCGTCAGCCATGCTCCGACGGCCGCCTCCGCGAATATATGCAAAGCAGATGGATACGGCCCCTTCACACACTTCCCCTTCATTTCCGTCTCTTTCACACACTTCAGGTCCCCCAAAAACACACACACGCTCCCCCACCACATCATTGTATATCCTTTCCCACTCCAGAGATCCACATCAAGGTCTCCTGTTACAGGGATGATCTGATAACAATTAAGGACAGAAAGTGTTGTAATGCTCTGGATTAAAGATGGGGAGCAGAGAAGGCCAGGAAAACAGCGCGAGAAGGATGAGAGGAGTGATGGAGTGAAAATGGAGGCGTGTGTGGGCCGAGCAGATGAGAAAAGTTTTGGCCCGTGATAGATGCCTCTTCCGCAGCCAGGGTATGAATCTGGGATGATGCTCCAGAGAGCACCACTCCACATAATGTTAGCCCATTTAAGAAGAGCAGATTTGTGTAGTCTATCAGGGTTGCAGAGTATTTTCCCCCCCTCCCGCCTCCCTCCCTCCCTCCTCCTGCGACCCCTTCGTAGTGAGAAATTGGTTGTTATCATAGATCACAGATACTGCTCAAACCTCTTATGAAAGATGAATTAATTTCACTAATGCTTTAATGCAAAGCTCTCATGAGGGAGGCAGACTGGTGATAACCCCTGCCTCGTCCCCGCTTCCTCCACCAGTGATTTATGCCCTCTTTTAGTAGATGAAACTGCCTAGATTTGCCATCCATCTGCAGCTTTGAGGAATCCCATTACTCCGGAGGAGGGCTGGGGGGGCCCTTGGATCAGAGGGGACGCCATGCGGAGTCCCGAACAGAGTCGCTCATTTAGTTCTGGGACATTTTAAGATTTGAGGGGCAACTTTTGCGACAGATGTTAACGGTTTATCAAGAAGCTAATTTCTACATTCAGAGCCTCTCAGGTGGTTCATCTGAGGAGGATGATATGATTACAGCTCAGGTGGATGTGTGTTTATGTCTCACATTTAGAATAAAGTCACAATCTGAGTAAAAAAATGCCACAGAGGAGAAGATTTTAACCATATGGAAACGAAGAATCTCCCAGAAACAAGAATAAGTGATCAGAGTAGAACAGTTCAGTTCAGCTGTGACTTCTCTAAAGGGCCCCCAATCTACGCTGGGAATTTTCCATTTATGTTATGTTTCACAATTAAATTAATGGTTTCATAGATTTATACCACAGAATTGCCAAATTCTTTAAAAAAGGTGGAATAGCATCTATCTGTGGCAGTGTATTACACGCTAACTTTTCCTTTTTTCTGTATGGTGTGAGAAACTTCAATGAGAATGTTAGTATGTGTTAAAACTTTCTCATTGGAAATTAGTTTTTAAAGATTCTCTGTGGCTATCTGCCTTTATTTGACATTAATATGACAGGAAGGAGTGTAGAAAGAGAAGGAAAGGTGTCCAGTAAAGACCTAATGGTCGATAGTGAAACTCGTTACCCAGACAGGTTCACCTGATCCAGGCTTTAGCCCCAAACCTTCAAACCATCTCTAAGCAGTATTCAGCAGTTCAGGTTTGATCAATTAATTTATCTAAACAAGCTTTATTCTAAGGTATTCCTGTCTCCAAGAAATTACTGCGTTTATTCTTTCCACATGGTCAGTAACAGGTTAACGAATCCCTGCCCTGTGAAAAGTATCCAGTTCATATTTAATCCAATGAAGTGTTTTAGTGGTTACTAACTGAGAGCATTCAAAGGAGCTCTATCTTATTAAACCTGTAAAACAGTATTATTACTACCCTTTGGTGTGGTGATAATACCAGATACCAACCTCCACACACACCTTTATGGACTAATAATATCTGACTAATAATAATCACTCACTAATAAAACTCTTTGGGTTTCGCACAAACAAAACAATTACACTATATATATATATATATATATATATATATATATATATATATATATATATATATATATATATATATATATATATATATATATATATATATAAAACACTATAACTTTCAGAAAACTGAGTTTTCAGTGTGCAGCTTTAGGTTTGGAAGGAGAAGAAGTTTAATGCTCACTTACAGATTAAATCCAGGTGTGATATCTTTTAGCTTTCAATAAAATATAATGAAGTAGTTTTAACAACCCACAGCTATCAAAGCATTAAGGTTTTTACAATTTATATTGAATTTGATTTGCGTGAAAATCATGATTAGGTTGTGAAACATGAAAAGCTTGTGAAGAACAGGCACATTTTTTCAAGTTTCACTTTGATTGAAGCGACAATCCTTCTATTTGCTAACCGTCTGTGTTTTCCGTAACATGTCCATGAGCTATAGCTGTAAGTCAACAGGAGAAGAAAAACGAGGAAGTTTATTGAAATGCTGAATGAGAAGAAAGTGGCCAAAATCATGGGTCGCATTTCTTTTGAAATGCCACAGTGATGGATTTTGGCGGCTTGTCGTTTACCGTTGTTCCGTCAATCTCTCCACCTTCCCCCCCGTGGGAATGAATGAATGCATTTATTCCTCTGGCGCTGTTGCCGTACGTGCGTCCGAAAGCCATTGCATCATAAGGATTTGTCATTGCCTAATATAAATAAAGTATACGACCCAGACCTTAATGTGCCCTTGGTATTGATTGTTTTACACAAGCGTTGGAGGGGGGAAAAAATAAGTGAGAGAAAGGAAGAAATGAACAGACAGGCTGTAGATCAACATCCATATGAGTTTGTTGTTTGGCACCATCATCGCGCCCATAAAAGCCCCAACTCTTCATACCCTTTTAGTGCCCCCTGTAGTAAGCTTCTGTTTCACCACTGATTACTTTAAAGTTCAGACCTCGATGGAAGTTAACTTCCCTCGTCTCTTTCCCCTCCACCGCCTTTACGGCGCTTGTGATTCATGTATACGTTAAGGAGATGAAGTCATTTAAACCGGCGTTACTTGTAAAACGCTCCCCGCATTTATCACCTGACAAGACACCTGTGACACGGATGCCGTCCCCCGTGACAGTCTTGATCCATGAGACGGTGAGGAGTTCTGAGATGAGGGGCTAATGTTGAGATGAAGGCTTGCAGAGCTCATTTTCCCAAGTAGAAGCGCAGTAAACTCTGCTGCAGGAGTACCTTTGCGGCTGTAAACCCTGCAGAAGCCATACTGTTATTTAGTGGGTCCCCTTGCAGGATGATGGAACAAGGATAGATGTGGCCGTCTACTGGGGCTCACATCACTCACTGTTTGTGTGTATTATTATTATTGCTCACTGTGCGTTTCTACCCTGAACTCTTCCAGCACCACTAAAACACCCTTTTCTGAACATCATGCTGCCATAATATTATTTATGGGGGTCAAGCTTTCAGCTGGAATATACAAAAGGTCAAAGAATCAAAGGAGATGGACCAGGAAATAGTCATAGGAGGGTGCTGTGGGGCTCGGAGCTCTGATGATGGATCCTGACATTTGGATTTTTTTTCCTGTCGTCACAGCTGTGTAGGTTTCCAGTCATGGCTGAAAAGGAAGTGGTCTGATTTCACGGTTGTAAAACAGGAAGTGCTTACGGAGATTGTGCAGACATCCCAGCACAGTACAGCCTGAAGTTTTAGGTCTGGACATTTTGCTGTGATGCTCCCTTAGGGTTTTCTGCTGCCGTGTTTGGAGGTTTTGTTCAGTCGGACCAATCTTTCATATTTGACCCTCGAATACTTTGGTGTCCTGAAAAGTTTGTCAGTCGAAAGGCGGGAAGGTGCCCCGATCCTGTGGCTGCAATCGAAACATCAGTGTGAAAGCTGGCACAAGGTGTCTGTGCCCATATTCTGTTTGGTTTTCTCCCTTTCTGTCCTGAAGACGTTGTTTCAGAAGCTGCTAATTTTTTCTTAATGAAAATAGGCTTTTCCTTTTAATTCTTTCCACTGACTGGGCCATTTTCTGATTTGACTTTGTGCCCTTTAACATGCTAACTGAGGCCTTTAGAGTCTGATTGTATGTTGTAGCTGAAGATTGGACACTCAGACTTCAGATGGCTTTTCAGGGGTGAATAGTCCTTATTGACGTATGATGTCAATCAATATGGACAGGGAATATTGAAATTTGACATCATTTGGATATGTTTAATTCTCGCTGTCATTATTCTGCTTTTTTTTGTCAAACCCAGTGATTCCCCAATCCTTAAATACTATTTTTCCTCCATCTCTGACCCTCTGCGTTGGTCCGTGCTATAGGTCAATCGGCGTATCGCCCAACAGGCATGGATGCAACACGCTCTGCAGCCGCCGTTCATCACTGTCGCGGGCGGAGACGCCATCACTGACCTGTGGAAGCTGAGCCAATGTCACCCTGAGCCTCGTGGCCTTCCTGCTGCCCCTCACTCCCACTCATCAAACCCCACCCCCCACAGCCAGTCATGACATTATCGTTTGGACCAAACGTGTTTCTTTATCAGTTTATTCTTTTACTGGTTAAACTCTGCATTTCTGATTATCCTTTTCTCTTGGTTCTGAGGTCCATGTAGTCGCTCTTTAAATGTCAGCTGATCATGATGTCCTCCTGACAGTTTTCATTAGGCGATCTGCTTCAATGTTGGAGATAATCATCCAAACTCAGAATAAAATTGGTTTCCTTAGAGCAATAAACGAGTGAAGGCTGCCTTTCTACAATAATGTGTGTGACAAACGTATGGCTTTGTGTGCTTAACCAGAGCGTGTTGTGTGCGCGCCCGTGTTTGTGAGGAGCAGGAGGTCAATCAGTCATATGTGCAGGAAATGGGGTAATCTGGGGCCAGGTGTCAGGAAAGTGATGGATTTTAATGCTGTGATCGTAGTTAATGGCTCTTTAAATTAAATCGAGATTAATCGTCTCTGGCGGCAGTCAGATCTCGTACGGGTACTGAGCAAATCCACCGCCCCCCTCGGAAAACCACCAACCCTAACCTTCATCTTCCACATCCTCATCCTCTCATACAGTTAAGACCTTCCTTCCACAACTTTTAAACTGAATGATTTTTCCTCCTGCGAACATATAGTCCATTGTTTATAGTTACTCAGCCGTTATTGTGCTTGTTTGTCTTTTATTCACTTCCAGTGTTTGTAAGGTCAGTCTGTTTTTCCAGCAGGGTGAAACTCATATCTAATTCCATTTGCTCTTTTCAAAATCACAACATTGGACGAGCGAGTTATAATTGGGCCCATGCATCCTGCAAAGGCAGTATGGATTAATTCAAGTATGCTAATGTAATTCAATTTGATACAGTTAATCTTGTACTAATGCAGATTGAAGGATGCGAGGCGCAATCAAATACCTCTTAGCCCTTTAATTTGCATCTGGGTTTTTTAAATAAAATTAGTCAATTTGTAATTATGCGACCTGGCCCATAATTAGTTTATTTATCACCGCAGTTAACTCCAATAGCGAGAGAGAGAACGAGATTGACTGGAAAATAAAGAAATAGGTTGTGGAAAATGGACTTATTTATCTTATCCGAAATGAGAACACTCACAACATCAATTTGTCTCTCATTTAATAACCAGCTTCTTGGTGAATCATGCGCTATATGATCATGTGCTGTTGGCGGAAGGAGCTGCTGGTTTGATCAGATCTCTCCAGGAGAGATCTGATGCAAACAGGATCACTCTGATAACAGTCTCTACTCTAAGCTCAGCCTGTTTTAAGCCATGTTGCATTTTGAATAAAAAATAAACAGAATAAAACTCTTACAGAAAGAGGTGAATCCAATAAATCAGAATAGCATAAACAAGTTAATGCAATTCACTAATGTAATTGAAAAACAGAAACTTCTTCGTCGTATAGATTCTTTACACCTTAATTTACTTTGAGGGTTTATTTCTGTTAATTTGTTAATTTTGTTTTACACCCGATTAAATCTTTTTAATAAAATTAAACATTACATAAGAACTATATACATCTAAGTTACATTTAAAACAGAAATAGAAGCTGGCTGCTCAGAGGGCTGTATCCAAGCATATTAGCAGAAAGTTCAGTGGAAGGAAAAACTGAAACCATTGGTTTTCCTTGGTTTAAGGAGAAACCAAAAACAAACAGTACTGAACATCATTATAGCAACCCAGCTTTTTCAAAAGGTGGCCGACAAAGTGTTTTTATAAACTTTACATCATATATAGTACCGTATTTTTGTTGTTGCTACAACCGTCTCTTTAAAAAAAAAAAGCACTTTTTAATTAGTCTGACATGGAATTATTTTCATTTATCACAAGTTTCATTTTTTGAATAAAATAAATTAAATATATGTTTTAGTAAACTTACTTTTTCTATATACTTATTTTTTTCCCTTTGCTGATCACCTGTGTCTAATACAAAGACTTTTATTTTGTAGCATACTGTATGTGCTATTTAGAGGAATAATACTCATTTAATAATTTCGTTTAAAAGTGTTAATAGTTATAACTTTATGCTTGTAAGGAGTCTTAAAAGTTTGGCTCTCTGCTCAACGAGATTGATATACCGGTAGTTTAAGAAAAGCATCTCTGCATGTTTAAAAATGTGAAACTTTGAAATACTTTTATTTTCTTAATGCACACAACAATGTAAGATAGACCTTATAAGTTTTAATCCAAAGTCTGCAAACATTTTATAAAAGAACTGAGCACCTCTGCCATAACATTTTTGTTACTATTAACAAGCTTTTAGCGTCATCCTTGTTATATATTTGTCCTTTCTTCTTGACAGGGTTGGAAGATTTTAGGTTAATATTGGCAGCAAAAACGGCTTTTAAATATGAAATAATAATTAATTAAATAATAGTATAATAATAACCATTAAATAATTGCCTGTTTGGAAAACCAACCTATGTCTAGGTGTCAACTATATGATCAACATTGTCATTCTCAGGTTAAATGAAAAATAGTTAAAATGCACCTGGAGCCACTTGGACCTGCTTCAGAATGCTTTCTGGTCAGACGAGACGGTGGCTGAACTGTTTGGCCAAATTGACAACAAATCTGATACAATATGCTTAAAGAAAAAACTCAGCACTGCCATCTCTCATGCATGGTAGTGGTAGAATCATGCAGTGGGAGTGCTTTGCTGCATTTAGTGCTTGCAGGTTGCACAACTTGGATGAAAAAAAACTTTGACTTCACCTCAGATCAGCAGCTTGGAGTAAAAAGTTTGGAGGTCCAGGATCCGCAAAATCAATGTTTGAATGGATAAAGCAGGCTGGCATTAAGCTTCCCACAACCTAAACCTCAACTTTTGTTAATCATTTGAACATTTGTAGTTTAAGAAAATATCATAGGAAATCGCACTGGAGTTGACATACTGAACATAATAGCTTCCACTCATCTTTCTGTCAAATTGTGACTGATTCTGCTTTTGTCGTACTGAACCAAATCTCTCTGGTCTGCAGTCCAAGTTCTCCAGAAAAGGATTCATCAGAACTCGATGGTCCCTGGCTGACTGGTGAGTTTTATTAACAGGTCTCTACACCTACACGTCCCACCCACTTCATCACCGTTCAACCCTGAATCATCACGACTCTATCTGTGTGATTAGAGACGGAGATCCAGATATGTCAGTCATGTCTGATGTCTCTCACAAGCGGCAGGTTAGAATTAGAGAGTTCTTAACTGGCTGTACCCTCTCTGTGGACCAGGCCCCACAGTAGGAGGCCAGGATTTGATTAGACCTAATCCCCTTAGTCAAGCAGCTGCATATGACAGATGACAGAAAACATTAGATGCAATTGAACCTGCACGGCATGAATAGAAACGCTGCTCTCAGTGTGCAGAGTTGGGGGGCTGAGGGGGGAAGAAGGGGATTGTAATCTAATAGAGGGATGACATGAGGACTAAAGAGCTGAAACGGTAAGCATTTAATAGGGGCATGACGTTTGACAGGAGCAGTAGAGAGCGGGTAGGCTGCTGAAGAATAGGAGATCAGATCTGGGACGGGATAGACACGTATTGTTTAAGCCATGAATGTTGTCATTTGTTCAGGATGTCACTGCAGAATAAACCTTGTGAGATAGGATCAATTCCTCTGGGCCGCCCCGCTGAGCCTCACGCTGATAAAATCAGCGGGGAGGTGTTCATCACTGCACACTAAGTCGCCTTGCTCTCCTTGAACAGGACAGGGTGAAATATAGCCAATCAGGGTTTAGGAACATCACACTTTGCTGGAAACTGTGCACAAGTGCCTTTCCTCCTAAATACTGGTTGTTGTTCATCTTCTGCTTTAAAGGAAATTCCCTAACTGAGTCTTTTTCCCCACAGTGCCTTCGATCTGGTCAACATCCACCTTTTCCACGACGCGAACAACGTTGTGGCCTGGGAGGAAAGTCCTTCCTCTTATTCTGGGATGAGGCAGAAGGCGCTGCGCTTTGTTTTAGACAGGTAACTGATGTAAAGGAAAGCTTTATGTTCACATCTTTAATCCTTCTCTCCCCAATTCTTTCCTGAGAAGAACTAACAATTTAAAAAAACACTTCATAATGTAAATGTATTAAATGACTATGAGACATGACAACAGTTTTACAGAAATAAGAATCTGAAAAACTCACATGGAGAGAAAAGACAATTAGAAGAAATGTATTGATACAATTCTTTGGCGCTCAGACCTCGACAAGAAACATTGCACAGAATTTTGATAGATATGCATGAACAAGAAGCAAGAAAAGGGCTGTTTCCCCCCAGGCCTGAAACAGGTGGTTTGAGTGGAGATAGATGAAGTTGGTCAGTCTGTAAACTGCTGGTTAGCAAGATGGTATGCTGAGCTTTATGGGGAGATCCAGTGGAATGCGTGAGCTGATACTAGAGCTTCACTCAGGGACCTAGAAGATGGAAGTCCAGTTGGATAACACAGGTTGAGAGAACCTGTCCATAATGAGCAAGCATGAAGCGACAGTGGAGAGGAAAAACTCCCCACTGGCAGAACCAGGCTGGTCTTCTGCCGTAGTGGTTGAAATGAGACATGGAATGCAGTAAGAGTCTGGGAGGAATGAAACTCTGATGAAGTTTTAGCTACAATGGTGGAGGAGGGGCTGTAGGTGGGTTGAAACGGGGTCATCTGAATGAAGTCACACAGCGCATCCACCGACTGCACACTAGGTAGCAGACGAGTTGCGGATTGGAAGCCTTTTAAGATGAACTTTTGGATGCTGATAATAGTTAAAGAAGCATTTTATACATCTTGAGTGCCGCCCCCTTGCCACATCATCACATGTCACATCATTACATCACACATGTTTGCAAATGAGACTTCACTGGCTCCAGCCACATCAAGACAGTGTTATAGATCAAGAACATTCTGAATGCACAGTGACAAAGAGCAGAGTTTTCCACTCTGACTCTGCTCCCATTTCATTCCCAAATCTTTATGTACATAATGAAGATGATGACTGTTTATCCTGACAGAACTGTCCTAGTTAGATAAACTGCTTGAGAAAACATTAGCCTTAACACGCAACAGGCAGTTATTAGGGTTTAACAAGCACATATATGAATAATTGAAACTAATCCTGACACCGACCAGCTTTAACGTGCAATCAATGATATTAGCAGCAACTTTCACTGGGCAGAAAGTCATTCACGAGGAAGTTAATCCTAAATTAATCATTCTGCCATCATATAAGATGTGAAATTGAAAACTGATTCATTACCATTATGCATGATCTATAATAAGAAACATGCCAATTGAAATGTATTTGTAGTAGAGTAGACTGTCATATAGTTATGTTTTTTTTTTTTAAGTTTTTTTTTTTTTTTTTTTTTAGCCGTACAATTTAAATTTGAGCCAACAATTCAAGGCTTTCCTTTATTCATGATGTTTGTGACTAAAAGCATAAATTTACTTTCATTTTATTATTTAGTTATTTCTTAGAATATTGTTATAACGCTATAATCAAGTGATACAAGATATTGAAATTTAGGCCAATTTAACATACACCGATATTTTACAACTTAACATGGCTAGAAAAACAAAATATTTTATAAAGGGTCCAATTTGATTTGTTTTTTTCCTATTTTGGATGATCTGTGTTTTATTTTATTTTTTTTTACTAACGATTTGGTATGATCTTAACTTTATTTATATTTAAACTCTGAGGAAGCAGGTTCCATTAATCATGTATTTTAAATTTCCAGATCCTTTCCTTTGTGTCAGTGAGGCACAGTCTATGCTACCCATCCAATAGGTCAATCTGAGTAGCTCCAAACTATTCTGAGACCCACTAAAAGACACCTAGCCTCAGTAATAGATATCGGTTTTACATCGGCTTATTTAGCAGAGAATTAACAGCTATATATGATGACTGCTAATATGACTGCCTCTATGAAGACTAAGTCTAGTTATGCTCCATGCTTAGAGACTCCCTTTCATTTGGTGTACTTGATAAGATGAAGCATCAGGTCTGTTTTTAGACTAGGCACGCTTTATGAAAGTACATGATGAAGATTGTCGATGTTATTGGTGTTGTTGAAATGACTCCAGTATTCAGCAAGAAGCCTCTATTCAAACAGGCCCCCCCTCCCCACTCCTGGTCCACGCTAATGTGATTTATGGCTTTTTTTATTTATGGCTTATTTAGGCTTTTTTGGAGTGGAGCGGGATGATGGAGTGCACAGTGCCACCCCTGCTCCCTAACTGGCCATGCTAACACAGAATAAAAGCCCGGTACCAGGCTCCCAGACGGTGACCTCCCATTCAAATGCTATAAGAATGCATGACGCGGCTCCCCTCCACCTCCGCTTTGAATAACTACCTACATGCATATAAAGGTGGAATACATCACCATATTTCCCTGGTCACTTTCAGATGCGTCTGTATTATGAGGTGCTTTCTAATCTCTCTGAGGTGACATTTAGCCTGCGCTTCTTTGTTGATTTAATAAATGAATGCCTTTAATGGACAGGGAAGTGGGAGTGTTTACAGAATATAGCAGCTTTTGCAGTTTTTATTACACAGTAATTCACCTGACATAAGGTTTTTAAAAGGACATCTGTTGTTGCTCTCCTTGAAGTGTTTGCCTCATATTTTCACAGCTTACGTCATGCTTTTTCTGTGTTTTCCTTTTTAGTGCCGTAGTACATAAATCTTTAAAGAAAATACTTAATGTTTGGTTTTGTGGCTGAATTTCCACAGAAGAAGGGGAAAGCGGTCTGAGACGAGGAGGCAGTGGGAATGTCTTCCCGTCTTCTTTCCTAGTTTCAGTGCTTCAACCTGCTAACAAAAATACTGTAATATAGTTTTTTCAGATTTTTTTTTTAATTCATTTTTTGTTTAATTTATGAAATAAGTTAAATAAAACAAGACCATGAAATAATCATCCATCCATCCATCCATCCATCCATCCATCCATCCATCCATCCATCCATCCATCCATCCATCCATCCATCCATCCATCCATCCATCCATCCATCCATCCATCCATCCATCCATCCATCCATCCATCCATCCATCCATCCATCCATCCCTGCAGTTTCTCTGGAGTCTTTATGTCCATTTTTTGAAGCAAAGCAAAACAAGCAAAGGATGCCTTCCAAGCAGCTCCTTGCTTTCCCCACACACCACTTCAGGGTGCAGTTCAGTGCTTTTTTGATGTGACTCAATAGACGGCTGTGGCCAGCTAAACGCCTTTCCTTCTCAGCATTGTTCCCCAGAGGCCTTGAAGTACTTTGGAGATAAACACTGTTTAGCAGTTAAAAGGGCCACTGAGGAAAAGCCTTATCAGATGTGTTCTCAATGGGCTATAAGCAGTATTATTAAGCCAGACACACAGATAAGGTGCAGGTTGAAGCTTGATGCCCGGCTGCAGAGCTCGGTCCAAGCACGACATGTGATCGCGGTATGATCCCCTCCCATGTCAAAGTGAGAGATTAGGCCTCGGAGTGGAGAGAAACAGAGAGAGAGAGAAAGCAAGTAGGGAGAAAGAAAAAGGTGGGGGGACTGGCTTTAGGTATTCCCCCTGTCCCTTTTCCTGCTTTCCTTCTGGGGGTAGGAGTCAGAGTTAGGACAATAGCCAAAAAGATGGTTCCCAACCAGCCGTTGAATGGAAACACTGTTGGTGGTAGCGCCTCATTCAAAGCCCAGCCCTGGAACATTGTCCTCCCAGATCGGCGGAGTAGAATGGAGTTTGCTGGTGGCTGCCAAAAGGTTAGCAGCTTCTGTGAAAGGACCGAGCCATTATTCACTGCCCTTTACAGAAGCCGAGCAGCCTTTGTGCTCCACCTCCTCTTCCTTCTGAAAACCATCAGCTTTTTCTCACTCCGGTGCTCCGGATCTGCGGACGACAGCTTCCCAAAAAGTGAGCAAGCATGAAGTGCTGCACCCACCATCATTCCCTAGCATCGGCCGTGAGGAATTACAGTGTTGGTGCACATTTTTGGATAACTTTTTTTGTGTAAATTTTCAAAATAATAATTTCATTTCATCCCATTATAGATTCCCAGTATAATCTCTAAGGGTGGAGGGGACAATAAAGGAATGTATGGATAGATAATAACTTCAGAATGTCACTTGGGAAAAAAAAAAAAAAAAAAAAAAAAAAAAAAAAAAAAAAAAAAAAAATCTGTATTTTTTGTTTCCATATTTAATTAAAAAATTTTTTTGCTTTAATTGGCATAGAAAATTTTTTTGGATTTAAATTTTAACCAATGAAATTAATTTAACTCATCACTTCATTATGCGTTTGGTTGTTTTCAATGAAATCATCATGAAAATTAGACCGGGAGGTTCTTTTTCCACATTTTTCAATTCATTTTTCATTTTTGAAAATAAACTGAGTTGTAATATGGCTTAAAAAAAACTGATTTTTTTCTAAAAAAATATGATCAATCAATTTTTCTTCTTCATTGACTTTAATGATTAAAAAAAATGAAATAACTTAATTTCACTCATCCCCTCTGGGAGGCAACCTTACTTGGAATGGTAATGAAATTCAAGAGATTTCACAAAAAAACTAAGAAAATCACACAGTGAGCTAGTTCATGGGTTATGTGCAGATAAGAACAAAAAGAGATGAATTGATGTCGCTATGAGCTATGGATGCCCAAGAAGTCCATTGGTTGGGTAAAAAAATCCTGATTTTGATACATCTAAAAAATCCGGATCCGAGAATTTGATTAATCAATTTCATCGATTGATTACCCAGTCTTAAAACAATGTTATGACAAAATATATAAAAAGTATTTTATGCAAGAACATGAAAAGGACCTCAGATATGCTTACCCCACACTTGAATATTGTTGACGTGTGTAACATGTGAAAAGACAATTATTCCCTTTGCCACATTCCCACACAGGACACTGGAAAATAAAAAAAAGGAAATGCATTTTTTTGTCTAATCTTACATGGAACTTGTTGCCACCTTTGTTTTTAGAGATATCACCTTATAAAG